CAAGACAATTGAAAATACACGTCCATGCAAAAACTTGCACACAATTGTTCATAGCAGCATTATTCACAATAGCTAAAAGTGGAAACAACCCAAATGTCCAGTGATGGATAACAAAATGTGGTCTATCCATGCAATGAAATATTCTTCAGCTGTAAAAGGGAATGAAGTACTGATCCATGCTACAATATGGATGAACCCTGAAAACATCATCGTAAGGGTAAGCGAGACACGAAAGCCCACATATGGTATGATTCCATTTATTTGAAATACTGAAATAAGCAAATCCACAGAGATAGAAAGTCTATTAGTGGTTGTCAGGCACTGGGGGAGGTGTAAATGGGGAGCTACTGCAGATGCAGACAAGGTGTTTTTTTGGGGGGTGATAAAAATGTCATGGAATTAGTGGTGATGGCAAACACTATAAATATAGTAAAAATCACTGAACTGTACCATTTACAGGGTGAATTTTGTGGTATGTGAATTGTACCTCAATAAAAAACAAAATTTTAATTTGAAAGGAAAAGGATTGAAAAAGATATACCAGTCAAATGTTAACAAAAAAAAAAACCTTATAGTTGCTATGTTAATATCAGACCAAGTAGACTATAAGGGAACAGCATTACTAGTATTAATGTGTAGCACTACATTTGATCAAATATTCAACTTAAAATATACAGCAATTCTAAACTCATACACAATGAGTAACATAAGTTACAAATACATAAAGCAATAATAGAAAAAGCTACAAGGAGAAACTGGCAAAAAGCAGTTGAGCCTCTACTTAGAGCATCATGTGAGGCCAGACTTGGCTCTGGGGTGAGGGAAGCTGTGGAAATCTCCGCGGGGTGTGAGGGAGGCGCTCTGGGGAGCTGGGCATGAGCTATTGTTTTCTAAAGACCAGTGTGACAGTAAATGTCGGCTTTTTCTATTTCTCAAAAGGAGGCAGATAATATGGTTGAGAAATATTGAAAAATTCTCTTAAACCAAAAATCTGTTCCTGTCACTTGTTCTGCTTAAAGTGTCAGTGGCTCCCAGTGCCCCCTTGAGAAAGGTCACTTTCCAGGCTGACCTCTACCCTCCTCTCACATCCTCCCTCAAGCAGACAGCGTTCTTTCTTGCTTCCGAAACACTCCATACTTCTTATCTTGCCCACCTGGTGTTGGGGATGGTAATACGGATCCCTGGATGAAGCTGGGGTGGGGTGGAAAACATGGTCACCACATGCCCAGACAGTGCCTGGCAGGAAGAAACGTGTGGCTTATAGTGCCAAATCGGCCACTGCCCGGCCTGGGGGCCTGACTTGGTCCCTTCATCTCTTTAACAGACCTGCTGCTCTCCTGGGATCCCTAGCAGCATGCTGGACTCCCTCACAACCCCCCATCCCCCACCCCCATTGAGTCCATGGCCAAGCTGCACCTTTCCAGCAGTTCCACTTCAGCTGCCCTGGCTGAAGGCCGTCTACATCTCTTGCCTTGTCTCAGCCCTGCCCTGCCCCACTTCCAGGCCATCACTCACACCAAGCTCCAGGGGATCTTTGTAACGCCCAGCTCCCGTGCCACATTTCCACCACTGTGGAAAGACCTCCCTGGTTCTCACTTAACGGGACATAAAATTGAGGCACAGAAGACCTTAAAGGCAACACAAGCCAGGTGGTATGGTGGCTCACACCTGTAGTCCTAGCTACTGGGGAAGCTGAGGATCCCTTGAGTCCAGGAGTTCTGGGCTGTAGTGTGCTATGTCCATCAGGTGTCTGTACTAAGTTCAGCATGAATATTCCAGGACCAGAGGACCACTAGGTTGCCTACGGAGGGGTGAACCAGCCCAGGTCAGAAACAGGTCGAAACTCATGTGCTGATCAGTAGTGGGATCACACTTGACAGCAGCCACTGCACTCCAGCTTGGGCAACACAGTGAGACCCCATCTCTTAAAAAAAAAAAAAAAAAAGGCAACACAAACCATCTACAAGACCCAAACTCAAATCCAGCATGGGTTTCTCCAGCCCAAGTTCTTCTTTCCTTCAGGCACACAGTTTGCATTCACAAAGACAAGTGGGGAAAGAATTCCCCTTGTTTTCTTCAATTCCCCACACAATTATGTCCCAAGCAAGACCTCGCTCGAATGGATGCAAGCGCGAATACACGAGCTGTTACTTAGCCATGTGTAGCGTGGGGGTGATTATCATGATAGCAGCTATCTCATAGGTGAGGTTCAAGTTAATACCTGAGAGCCTCTTCAACAAAGAGTTGTTACTAGCATTCTTTTTTTTCTTTCTTTCTTTCTTTTTTTGTAGAGATGAGTTTTTGCCATCTTTCCCAGGCTAGCCTCGAACTCCTGGGCTTGAGGGATCAGTGTTCTTTTTATTAAAAGGGATAATCCTTCCAGAAATGCCAGTTTCTATGCTAGATATATACTTGCAAAGAGAAGGGTGAAAAGTAAGTCTATTTTCACGCCCCTCAGGCACCTCGAACTGACCACATCCAGAATCAATCTCATTACTCCTCCTCCAAAGTCATGCCCGTTGAACCCTTCTTGATGAATGTTCTGCTGCCAGAACCATGATCTACCTGGATCCTCCCCTTCATTTCCCACCTGCAACCCATCACCAAGACCTGTCCACTTGACTACCAAAGAGCTCCTAGGACCACCTCCATGTCTCCCCATCCCTAGGATAGAGCCATAGGTTGACCTTCCCTTGAAACTCTGCTTCCCACAGGTTTGCTTCAAGACAGAGCACGTGACCCACCCTGTGTGGCCCAGAAAAGCAGAGACATCTTCCTTTCGTGAGGCCCACCAGGGTTTCCCCCACCCTCAATTCTGGTCTGGTTCCAGACACCCCGATTCCCAGCAGCCAGCCCCAGCTCAGCATCTAACCCACACTGGACAAGGATGCTCTCTGGCTAAAACCCCTTCGATGGCTCCCCACTGCTCCTAGACTACAGTTCCAGCTCCTTCCTCTGCCAGGCTCGGTCTGGCCCGTTCCTCTTGCCACCAGCCTCAGCACCGGCCCTGAGCCTGAGAAGCCCTCACAGCGTCTGACCCAGCTCCCTCGCCATCACCTCACATACGCACCACCTTTTTGCCTTTGGCTAAACCAGTCCTTTCTCTCTCCCAGCCTGCCACCCCACTGCCTAGTGACCCAAGCTGCCTTCCTCATGTTGGGTTTTGGAGGGATGGAGGGATGCTGCCTCTGCTTGACCTGGGGGCTCCACCCTCGCCCCTGTCACAGATGGGACAGGACCTCTCTCCCCTAAGGTTGGACTTTCCCAGGGCAGGATTTGCAGGGTGTAGGGTGGGGGCAGTGGTGGGAAGGAATGGATTTGAAAGTCTGCCCAGGTGCTAAAGGAACCAGGAGAGCCTAATGGACTTCTAAAGATGGGGCCGTGGCTCCCCCTGCTGACAGGAGGCTATATTGCACCCTTTGTCAAGGCAGCCCAGAGCTGGCTTGAGCTCCAAGCTGAAGCTATCTGGCTACATGCCTGGACTGGAAGAGCTGGCCGTTCCTGAGCTAATGCTGGTTTCTTCTGGAAGGCTGGCTGTGGCACTCCTGCTCACGGCTCACAGACCCACGAAGACCATTCTTATCATCCCCATAAAACCCCTCCAACAGAGGGCCTCCTCCTGGAGGGCGGGCCCCTCTTCTGATAGGCCCAGGCCGTGCCCAGCGCCTGGCACAGAGTAGAGGCGCGGTTAGCATCTGACCAAAACAAGAGCGAGTAGGTATCATGGGAGTCCAGTGTGAACACAGAAAAGATGGGAAGCGGAGCCCGCAGCAGGGGTGCCCATAGGCAACAGGGCCCCAGGTACAGGTGAGGGGAGGTGGGACGGGTCTTGGAGGCGAGGAGGCTGAGGCACTGGCTGACTGAGGTCCGCTGTGGGGCCCAAAGCCTGGGGCAACGGATGGCCTGGGAGTGGCTGTGGGCATGGAGGAGGAGGCTGCCCACCCACATCCAGCCTGCTGTTCCTGGTGTAAGCCTGAGCACCACTGCAGCCTTCAGCCCCAAGACCCAGGCCAGCCTTGGTTTCGGCCTCACTGCCTAGCTTTAGGACCCAAAGTTCAACAAGGAGAGCAGTCTTCTCTGCTATTCTGGCCAGTCAAGCCAGGCGTCATCAGGCGCACACCCTGGGGGCTGGCAGGGAACAGGGGTCTCAGAGGGGTGGGACAGGTAGCCAGCTTGCCTGGAACTCTGGCTGGAACCAAGGAGTGGCTCTGGGGTCTTCCCCTGATGAGCCCAGGGAGAAAGGCCTAGAGGGGCCAGCAGAGGTTTGGGGCCCAGCAAGGCATGGCTCTGGAGCCCTGGCCCCTCCAGAATGGGCACAGGTCTTCCCTTCAGCAGTCATGTCCAAGCCGCCACTGTCCCCAGGGCCCTAGCTGCCAGACCAGTCTACCCCAGCCTGAAGCCTGAGGGTTTCAAAGCCCACGCACAGCGGAGGGAAAAAGGCCCCCGTGTCGCCATATCCTGGACAAGGAACTCCTCTCACCCTCTGACCCTGCGGTTCCCTACCCTTCTGTACGACGTGGCCTCTGGCTAACAAGAAAGGGAACGGAGGGAGGATGGAAGGTGACAGTCATGGGCTCTGGTCCCCCTCCATGTACCTGTGAGCCCTTCCCAGCCCTGGGCACCTGGCTGAGACAACCCAGCAGTGCATGGCGGGGCACTGCAGCCCAACCCTGGCGGTCCGGAGCCAGCACTCCTCAGGCGGCCACACAACCTCCTGCCAGCGCCCCCTGCTGGCAGCCCAGCAGGCGTGTGCGGCCTCCACTTTGTCCCAGGACCCCAAGGCTGGGCAGTTACACCACTGGGGTGGCAGAGCTGCCCAGCTAGGCTGCCATTTGTTGGTGCTTTGAGGGGAGGGGACAGGAAGTTTCCGAACAGTCGGAAACTTGTCTGCCGAGATGCGAGGGAGCAGAGGCTCGGGTGACAGGGTCTCATCGGTTTCCTTCCCACAAGTAACCAGATCCCCCCTGCACTTGCCACAGCCCCAGCTCACCACGAGCCCATTGCTCTGTCTGTCTTTATTGGTTTGGAGAAAACTGGAGGGGGCTGGAAGTCCACGACCATGACACGAGCAGGATCACTTACACTCAGCGAAGCACAGAACAGCCGTGCAGGAAAGACAGCCCCTGAGGCCCGCCTGCCTGTGCCTCCCAGTCTTTCGGTGGGGCGGGGACACGGATGGGCGAGGCAACAGAGGAGGGGAGCCACTGTCCCCAGGCAGGACAGAGCCTGGGGACAGACTTGGGGGTGCCCCATTCCCACCCCAGCGCCATTCACCACACCCTCAAATTCAAACTCCAGCACAGGCCAGCCACAGGGGGAGAGGTTGGGGGAGGGGACCAAAGGCGTCCAAGGGAAGGAAATCTGGGGATCAGTCGCTTGGCCTTGACATCTGCCTGAGGGGGAGAAGCAGAGGGAAAGGGGGTAGTCAGGAGCCAACCTGCTGGACCTGTGCCCCCAGCCCTGCCTCGGTTGAGGCCCAGACTTCTCAGAGGCCCTCAGGGTCTCCCTGCACACCCTTGCCTAACATCGGGCACCACTAGCTGTCCCTGTCCTTCTGCTTCTCCTAGGGCCCTGGCTCCTCCCTCTGTGCCCTCTGCCCTCAGCCCTCTGGCCCATGGGGGCCACCCCAGTTAGCTCTTGGCCACATGGAGTGCCACCACCCTCTAAGCTCTCCAAGGAGCCAGCTACTAGGGAGCACAGGGTCCACCCACACGCACCTGGGCATCACCATTTGAGGGTCTGGCCAGCACGGAGGCCTGAGTGGCTGTGGCGGGCCATGCCCTGCTCAGAGGCCCTCTCGCCCTCTGGGCTCTGGCCCAGCTTCCGGATGTGGCGCAGGAATGAGGTGGCATTGAAGGCTCGCTGCCAGAAGAGAGGGAGATCAGGCCAGGCCTGGGCCCAGGCCCCAAGACTGTGAGGACGGCAGTGGGCACTGCACAGCCGTGGCGATCATGCTCCATCTGGGGTGTGGCGGCCCACCGCACTGGGCCTCTCTCCACACTGACCTTCCAGTGCGTCCGGGCAAAGTTCTTCTGGATCTGCTCACTGACTGAGCCTAAGATGTCCCTGTCGAAGGCTGTGTCCCCAGAGATCCTGGGGAAAGGCTGCAGGTCAGTGGAGTAGGCCTCCTTTCGGGTGCGGTCACCCTGGCCCTGAGACAGCTGTGCTTCCACTCACCAAAGATGCTGCAGGGCTTGCTGGCAGGTGAACCTCTTCTGTGGGTCTCGCTCCAGAAGGTGCCGGATGAAGTCTTTGGCTGGAACAGGGAGGCCAGGTCAGCCTGTCGGGTCCCCACTCCCTTGCATCACCCCCAAGCATGGGCCGGCCTCAAGCTCACCTGATTCTGAGATGTCATCCCAGAAAGGAGAGTCGAACTCATAGCTGGCCCTCAGGATCTGGCTGAAGAGCTCAGGATCGCTCTCGTCGTAGAAGGGGGGGTACCCACACAGCCTGGCACCCACAGATGAATCACCCAGCTGTCCCACCCTCCCCAACCCAGCAGGGGCAGGCACGCAGGAGACAAGGCTTCCCAGCGGTCACTCACAGGATGTAGGAGATGACACCCAGGGCCCACACATCTACAGCCTTCCCGTAGGGCTTCTGCTCCAAGAGCTCCGGGGCTGGGGGCCAGAGACAGACAGACGCACGCACAGGCACACACGCAGCCCTGCCGCTCAGTGCCTCTGGCTCGGCCCACTCAAGCCCAGGGACAATGGGCACAACAACCTTCCCGGCTGTCTAGGATCCCTCAGGCCCCCACTCCCAGCAAGCCTCACCCACATATCCAGGAGTCCCGCAGGCAGTGCCTAGCATGTTGCCAGCTTGGATTTTGGAGAGCCCAAAGTCGGAGACCATGATCTTGGAGTCCTCGAAGGGCGTGGCATAGAGGAGGTTTTCAGGCTGTGACACATGGGCACCGGAAAAGGGCCACGTCAGTCAGTTTCCCCAGAGCCTTAGCGGAGAGGATGACCAAGAAAGGCCCCAGCTGTGCTCCCGGGGAAACAAAGGCAGGGCCAGGTGGGCAGGTGGGAGAGCAGGGCTGGGAGGCCCCGGCCAGGCACCTTGAGATCCCGGTGCACGATGCCCAGGCTGTGCAGGTAGGAGACAGCGCCGAGGACCTGACCCACCAGATGGCTGGCATCCTTCTCGGTGTAGGAGCCCCGCTCCATGATTCGGTCAAACAGCTCACCACCCGTCACCCTGGGGGCGCCAGGGGTTTGGCTGACCCAGGCACTCAGCCTGGCCTTCAGCCCCACTCACTGCCCAGCCCCTACCCAGCTCCCACAGCCTGCCCAAGTCCTCCTCACAGTTCCATGGCCAGGTAGAGGTGGGAAGGGCTCTCATGTACATCCTCCAGAGCCACGATGTTGGGATGACTGATTCTGCAACGGCAAGGAGGCTCCTGTGGGCCAGCAGAGTCAAGGGGGGCTCTGTCCTGGGGCCCCAGGGAAAGCCTCCTTCCTCTTTTATTCCTCACACCCCTGTGCCCATTGCCTACCACATGCCACCCCTGCCCAGTCCAGGAAGGCAGAGCCCCAGCCTGAGCCGCGGCCTTCCTTGGGACACAGATTTCTAAAGCCCATTTGGAAAAGCACAGATCAATATCAACCAGCTCCCTGAGGCACATGGCTGTGCAGGCCGAGAGAGGAGAACTGCCCCAGGCCTCCCGAAGGTTGGTGGCCAGGCCTGGACTAGAGCCAGGGTCTCCTTGCACCCCCACCCCACCCCCACATCAACCTATGCCCCATCCCAGGGCCCCATGAGGTACGCACCTACGGAGCACTGAGATCTCGTTCTCCACCAGGGCCTCCTTGCCCCGGAGGGCCTTCTTGGGGATGCACTTGAGGGCCACGAGATGTGCAGAGCCCCGCTCCTGGGCCAGCAGCACCTCGGAGAAGGCACCCCTGCCGCAAAGGCAGAGATGGGCAGTGGGAGGCAGGAAGGAATTGGGAAAGGTGAAAATGAGGGAAAGAGAGGAGAGGCGGGAGGGAGAGGGAGGGGATGGGGAGGTCCCCTGTGAAGGAGATGAGGAGGCCCTACCTGGCCCTGTGCGACACACCCCCACCACTCACACATGCCACCTCATTCACTCAGACATTCACACACCCCTACATATTCACACACACCATCTCACGCCCACTGTCGTAGTCACATACACACACACACGCCATCTCACACAGGTATTCACACACAATCACACACGCCAGCACACTCACGAGCCGAGCCTCCCTCGGATGTCATAGATGCTGCTGATGTCCTCCGTCTGTTTCTTCAGCAGCAGCATATCTGCAGAGGCAGGGGAAAGGTGATGGGGGCCCCCGAGCAGGGCAGCTTCCTCCTCCACCCCCTGCCAGGCAGACCTCAGCCTCCGGCAGCGCTGAAACCTCCCTGCCCCCATCCAGGTCCACACCCCCAGACACCTCCCACAGAGGCGAGGCCACTACACACACGCCTCCACATCCCTGGCCCACAGCTGTCATCCCACGTCCCCCCAGCCCTGCACCCCTACACGACCAGCACCTGGACGCCGCCTCTCTGCCTCCACACATCCGGCCGATTTCCAGAAGGCTCCATGCTCATCCACGCCGTTCCCTCCCCCATCCACAGCGCCCAAGCCCCCACCCCCGCCTAGGCCCGCCACCCATGGCACAGCGCCCACAGGCACCCGCCGCCCAAGCCACCAAGCCGCCCGGGATGCACCTGCGACCCCCGCGGAGCCACCTGCCAAGACCACGGCCACCCACGAGGCTGCAGACGCAGCCCGGACCTCGGCGCCGCGGAGCAGGGGGACCTGGCAGCCTGGGCCGCCCGCGTCCCGAGCTGCGTGGACCGAGCGCGTGCGGGCGGGGGACGCGCCGGGCGTGACAGGTGTCCTGCGGGCGCGCAGGGATGGGGCGGTCGTGGACCGGACCCGGTGCGCCCCCGCCTCGCGCGTCCCCGTACCCCGGAGCAGGTGCCGACCTGGAGCGGGTGCCGCAGCGTCGCTCAGCTCAGTGGCCGCTGCGCCGAGCCCCCCGCCCGCGCCCCGCCGGCCCCGCCCCCTCCGCGCGCGCCCCCGCGGGCCGCCAGAGTACGCAGTGGCCCAACGCGGCCGCGGCGCCGCAGGGCACCTTGTAAGGTAATCGCCCGGCTCCGGCTAGGCGGCCACCGCCTGGCCCTCGCTGGTGCCGCCTCCCGGAGCTCTGGCCTCTGCGCAGCCTGATTGCGCCTGCCCCAGGGCCTTTGCACCACCGGCTGCTGCCTCAGGAGAGCTCTTCGCCACAGGTTGGCAAGACTCTCTGCCTTCCAGTCTCTGCTTTCACCGCCTCTCCGAGGAGAGGCCGACCAGGCCACTTGCCCTGCAACAGCCTCCATCCCTAGCTCCGGGACCCTGCAACCCTGCACCGCGGCTCTGCCACCCTGGGCTCCCGGCACTCACTGGGCTCCCTCTGACTCCACCGTTAACCCCTCATCCTCACTCTCTTCCTCTACCCAGCACCCAGAGCACTCCTTTTATTGACATCATGTCACCCTCCTGCGGATCTCCATGTCAATCCAAGTCAAGGCATGAGTCCTTAGGAGGTGGCCTAACGACTTCTCCAGCCCTTCCCCAGCCACACTGGCCACCTAACTGGCCCTAACCCACACCACATTTGCAGGTGCGTCCTTTGCTCCCCTGCCTGGAATGTTCTTCGCTCAGATATCTGCCCGCCCTGGCTCCTCACTCCATCAGATCTCGGCTCAAATGTCCTCTCCTCAAACGGGCCTCCTCCGCCCTGACCCTGCCAATTCTCCTGGCATAACCCTGCCTGTCTTTAGAACGTCCAACCGAAAACTCACCTTCTTCACCTGGTCTTCCTCACCAAAGCGTCTGCTCCCAGAGTGTATGTCTGTGGACCAAGCCAAGACAAGCTTAACAAGTGCAGGGTGACTGAATTCAATTCTCAGTCAACACTTACTGCACCTCCTCGCTGCCCCATCCAGCCCCATGACGTTCTGGTACCTCCCAAGGGTCTGTGCTCCACAGTCCTACAGGCCAGCATCGCAGGGGTCTGTCAAGTGGCAGGGTCCAGTCGTCACAGTGACCCATGGGCCCCTGGCATGATACAGTCTTCAAGAGAGTCTGCAGAGCAGGAAAACGTTTTTAAAAATCATTTTTCCAGACCTCAACGCCCATAGGTATTCCGTGTAAAAACTGGGAAATCTGAGAAGGGCCCTGGCAGCTGCTGCCCCTGGCCTTTCCCAGTCACCCCTTCCCGGGCACTCAGGAGCTCCAGCCCCACCTGCTCATCTATGTGAACAGGGCTTCCTGGGACCGACATCTATAACAGAAAAACAGGAATGGAACTGATGGCGAGACCCTTCTCCTGACAGCAGGACGTGCTGTTTGTCTACAGATACCTACAGAAAATTCCCCAGAACGTTTAATACGCCAACCGTGCTTTGCTCAAGCCAGAAGAAACATTAGCAGAGTCCTGCAACATGGTCCTGGGTTATAAAAAGAAATAGAAATATACATATTTCTGTGCCCCAGAGAAGTGTGGTGGTGTGGGCAATAAAGGCTTCCCAAGTGGACAGAGATGGCACAAAGAGAACTCTCTAAGGGGCGGCAGATGCAAGCACCCACTTCCACAGTGGGCCTGGGAAGGGAGAGCCAGTGGTCAGGCCTCAGTCTATGCGGTGACTCAGATGCCCCTGGCCTCCTGTAAACAGCGGTGGCACAGTTATTGTTTCAAATCATTGAATCATGGTTTTGGGTTGGTTTGTTTTTCCTTTGTTGTTTGAGACAGAGTCTTGCTGTCGCCCAGGCTGGAGTGCAGTGGCGCAATCTCAGCTCACTGCAACCTCTGCCTCCCAGGTTCAAGCAATTCTCCTGCCTCAGCCTCCCAAGTAGCTTGGATTACAGGCGCCTGCCACTACGCCGGCTAATTTTTTGCATTTTTAGTAGAGATGGGGTTTCACCATGTTGGCCAGGCTGGTCTAGAACTCCTCACCTCAGGTGATCCACCTGCCTTGGCCTCTCAAAGTGGGATTACAGTCGTAAGCCGCCATCCCTTGCCAAAACCCCATTTTCTTTTTTTTTTTTTTTTGAGACAGAGTCTCACTCTGTCACCTAGGCTGGAGTGCAATGGCATGATCTTGGCTCACTGCAACCTCTGCCTCTCAGGTTTAGGCAATTTTCCTGCCTCAGCCTCCTGAGTAGCTGGGATTACAGGCATAAGCCACCACGCCCAGCTAATTTTTGTATTTTTAGTAGAGACCAGGTTTCACCATGTTGCTCAGGCTGGTCTCAAGCTCCTGACCTTGTGATCCACCCACCTCGGCCTCCCCAAGTGTTGGGATTACAGGCATGAGCCACCGCGCCCAGCCAAGACCCCATTTTCTACAAAAAATTTACAAATTAGCCGGGTGTGGTGGTGTGTGCCCATAGTCTCGGCTACTTGGGAAGCTGAGGCAGCAGGATCACTTAAGCCCAGGAGTTGGAGGCTGCAGTGAGCCATGCTCTTGCCACTGCACTCCAGCCTGGGAACCAAAGAGTGACGGCCCAACTCAAAAAGAAAAGGAAGAAGAAATTACACCCTTTGCATCTGTGTAAACATGTGCTGAAATCCTGTAGATGTCAACATTACAACGCACATGTGTGTGTCCGGTGGTGGAGATGACAGTGTTGAAGGTGGGGCCTTATGCCAGGTGCTTGGGTCATGGGGATGAATCCCTCATTAATGGCTGGGTGCTGTCCTCACAATAATGAGTGAGTTCTTGCTCTGAGTCCGTACAAGGTCTGGTTGTTTTAAAGAGCCTGGAACCTCCTCTTTTGCTCCCATTCTTGCCATGGATATGCCAGCTCCCTCTTCACCTTCCACCACGATTGGAAGCTTCCTGAGGGCCTCACTAGAAGCAGATGCTGGCACCACACTTCCTGTATAGATAGCCTGCAGAACCGTTAGCCAAAATAAGCGACTTTTCTTTATAAATTACCCAGCCTCAGCAATTTCTTTTCTTTTTTTTCTTTTTCTTTTTTTTTTTTTTTTTTTTTGAGTCGAAGTCTCACTCTGTGGTCCAGGCTGGAATGCAGTGGTGTGATCATGGCTCACTGCAACCTCCGCCTCCCAGGTTCAAGTGATTCTTCTGCCTCAGCCCCCTGAGTAGCTGGGATTACAGGCGTGCCACTATGCCCAGCTAATGTTTGTATTTTTAGTAGTGACGGGGTTTCACCATGTTGGTCAGGCTGGTCATAACCTTGTGATCTGCCTGCCTCGGCCTTCCAAAGTGCTGGGATTATAGGCATGAACCACTGCGCCCAGCCTAGGAATTTCTTTATAGCAATGCAAGAACGGACTCAGACATGACAGATAAGAGCTTTTCAGATCCATTCGGGGACACACGACACAAAAGTTAACTTAAGGCCAGGCGCAGTGGCTCACACCTGTAATCCCAGCCCTGTGGGAGGCCAACAAGGGAGTATCGCTCGAGCTCAGGAGTTAGAGGCCAGCCCATCGCTACAAAAATACAAAAATTGGCTGGATGTGGTGGTGCACACCTGTAGTCCCAGCTACTCGAGAGGCTGAGGTGGGAGGATTACTTGAGCCTCAGAAGTGAAGGTTGCACCTCAAAATGGATCCAGAAGAAAACAGAGGAGAAAGTCTGTGTTACCTCAGGCTTGACAATAAATTTTTAGATGCAATGTGGAAAACATGATCCATGAAAGAAAAAATGATAAATTGTACCGTAACAAAATTTAAAATGTTTGCTCTGCAAACACTATTAGGAGGATGAAAAGATAAGCCATAAGCCAGGGAAAGAATCTTTGCAAAACACATATCTGATAAACAACTGAGATCCACAATATAAAAAGAACTCTCAAAACTCAGTAAGAGGCTGGGCATGGCGGCTCCCACCTGTAATCCCTGCACTTTGGGAGGCCAAGGCGGGCAGATCACCTGAGGTCAGGAGTTCGAGACCAGACTGGCCAACATGGCAAAACCCCGGCTTTACCAAAAAATACAAAAATTAGCTGGACCCAGGAGGCAGAGGTTGCAGTGAGCTGAGATTGTAGCACTGCACTCCAGCCTGGGCAACAGAGTAAGCCTCTGTCCCCCTCCTCCCTGAAAAAAAAAAAAAACCTCAATAAGAAAACAACCCAATTTAAAAATGGGCAAAAGATCTGAACAGATGCCTCTCCACAGAAGAAATACAAATGGTAAATAAGCAATCAGAAAGTGTTTAACATCAGACATCATTAGGAATTGCAAATTAAAACCACACGGACATACCGCTGCATACCTACTAGAATAATCAAAATACAAAACACTGACAATGCCTAATGCTGGCGAGGACAGCTAGAGCAACAGAATGCGACATGTTCAGCCACCCTGAAAAGCGGTTGGCAGTTCCTTCCAAAGCTCAGTATACTTTTACCCGTACAGTTCAACAATCATACTCCTTGGTATTTACCCAAATGATTTGAAAACTTATGTCCACACAAAAACCAGCACGCACATATTTATAGCAGCCTTTGTTTTAAAGACCAGTGTGATAGTATATAGCAGTTTTATTGGTAATTGGCAAAAACCAGAAGCAATTAAGATGTTCCTCAGTGAGTGAACAAATAAAACATGGAATACTAGTCAGTGATAAAGAGGAAAAAGCTGTGAAGCCATGAGAAGAAATAAGTCA